TATTGATGGTAATGCTGGCACGTATTGTGGGCAGAGAAGGACCACATATTTGGAATGCATATCAGTATTAGTAAAAGGAATCTTTTTGCCACCCCCAATATGGAAGGGACCTATCATGGTAGCCTGGTTGTTTTCCTGAAAAGCATTGAATCTTTGCTATTGGCAGATTGGACACTTAGCAATGGCATTAGGTAAGTCAATATTGGCCAGAGGACACTCATGTTGTTGGGATTATGCATGACCTCCATCCCTGCCAAGTTCTTTTACATTTATTCATATAGATGGTCATCTATATTCAACAATTTCAGTGAAAGGGCACTTATAACCTCCAAAGTTGTTAGTTCATCTTGCTGGCTACTGTCCTAGTAGAGCAATGGAGCCTTCTGAAGGTGCTGCTTAAGTGCCAGCTTGGAGATGATACTCTCTGAGGTTACAGTGTCTGTCTCCAGGCTGTGGTGTGTGCCCTAAATCAACAGTCATTATATGGGACTGGGGTGCCTAATAGCAAATTACATGGTACTGGAATCAAGAGATGGAAGTAGAAATGACCATCCTTACCTATCATTTGAGGAATGTGTGCTCCCAGTCACCACAAACCTGGGTTTGGCATATTTGGAAGTCCTGGCTTCTAGAGGAGGAATATGCCACCAAGTTATGGCTGATACTTTGTGACTTTGAGATCTTTATGCAACAGACTAACAGGCAAGTAAATGAACTGTGATCCCAAAGGAAAAATTGATCCTTATCATCAGGGGGAGATAGAGGAATAAAAGAAGAATATACTTGGAACCCACGATTCACCTGTGAATTTCATGAAACTTTCTTGCCCAATTTTGATGGTAAAGGTAAAAATAGAGTATCCCCCACTTGAAAAGTGTATGTTACTGGGAAATCAGACTCTCCATAAGGTAGGACCAAGATCAACCAACCAGGGAAGCTATTTAGGTAAGCAATGGTGCTGGTGAAAGTTGAAGGATCTGGTGAGTATCAGTTGTGACCGTGAGACCAGCCGTAGAACCAGGAGGCATATAGGTTTCTCTTGTAAATTTCCCCAGGAAAAGAGGCCCACCAGAATCCTGGAGGAGCTGCTCCCAGATGTATTGCACAATGCTGCTGGATACAAGCTGTGCAAGGGAAGATTGGACCATCCCGATGCCCTGCCTCATCCTAACTCTCCGGGACTGAAGTACCCCTCTCCTCAGCTTCTGGGGAATATTAATAGCTAATAGCACTCCACTAAAAGACTGAAGATCTCTTTTCTTCCTGGAGACAGTCTGTATCCTGTGACTGGTTGGCGATGACCAGTTAATGGTGGGGGATGTATAAATCTAGCCCCTTTGCCTCAATATGGGAAACTCTGTAGGATCATCCCAGTTCCAGCATCCTCCATGGGGTATTGATTATTGCACTAAAACTCAACTTCTCTGTAAAATCTTGTTGTCTTTACTCCCCTGAATGCACTCTTCAATAAATTTCTTACATTTTTTTCAGTATAGGAGTTTACGTCCTGGGGAACCTGATGAAAGGGAGTTTATTAATATTCTTTTTGCGTTTACTCTATAAGTCTACTTCCACAGTATAACCAAATGGCTTCTTTTTTAAAACATAGTTTTAAATTTGTTCTAATTAGTTATACATGATAGTATAATGCATTTTGACAAACCATACATAAATGGAGTACAACTTATCATTCTTCTGGTTGTACACGATATATAATAACACAGGTCAGGTAATCATATATGAACATAGGGAATAATATCTGATTCATTCTACTACCATTTCTACCTCCGTACCCCACTCCTCCCATCCTCCCCCTTCCCTCCCATCCTCCCCCTTCCCTCCCATCCTCCCCCTTCCCTCCCTTCCCCTTCCTTCACTCCTCTCTGTCTAGTCCAAAATACTTCTATTTTTCCCCTTCCCCCCTTATCATAAATTAGCATCCACATATCAGAGAAAACACTGAACCTTTCTTTCTTTGGGATTGGCTTATTTCGGAATGGCTTCTTAACAGCACAAATCAGATCATACCACTTCCTATTTTAAATTTTGAAATAGCTTTCATTTATTCTGAGAATAAAAATTGAACCTTTATTAGGGTTTAAAGGGCCTACCTTAAACAATCCTCTTTCCTATTTATCCTTCTCTCCTCTCTGTCCTTTGCTTACTGTGCTTTATGCCACTGACCTTTCTGTTGCAGGGACCCTAAATAGAATGTGGTGGATTTTTTTTTTTTTTAATTAGGACTCAAATTGGATAACCCAGTTCTACCAACAGAGTGCCTGGCATATACTGGTATCCAAAAGAATTGAGTAAATAAGTGTCAAGAGGTTAGAATCTAAGAAGGAGCCATTTCACTTCCAGACCATGGGACGGAGTCTGCAGTACATCACTGGGTAATATCTTAGGACATATGGAGATAGTTGAGACTGAATGTTTTTGATTCTTTGTCCTCTCTAAGGGAAGGTAGAATCTGGAGGACTTGATGTTTAGGACTTCATAAGATTCCATACGATTTTCTCTCATCAGAATTCCTGTTGATATCCCTGGTAAAAGTCCACTAACAAATAATCCTGCCCTGGATGAGGCTTAATTCTACTAGTATACAGTAGAAATGACCACACTTCCCTGCACCCTCCGGAGGCATCATCCTTCTCAGCCCTTTTCTGACTGAGGTACTGAACACTTAGACCAATCTTGCCCACCACTTTCGCCCTTGTTGTGGCCTGTAAGTACTTTTGTTGGTGGCCTCACCAGACGGCCCCACTTTCACCTGGATGAATGAACCTGTTGATTCACCTGTGCATAGAAGGGTAAGTGTTGAATTATGTCCCCCTCAAAACTGTTATGTTTAAGTCCTAACCTGAAGGACCTCAGAGAACAACCTCATTGGATGTAGGGTCCTTTCAGAAGTAGCAAAGTTAAAATGAGTTCACTAGGCTGAGTGTTAATGCATTAGGCACACAGAGGTAGGCACACCAAGAAAATGTCATGTGAACATGAAGACAACCATCTATCAGCCAGGAAGAAAAATATGGTGGGGACCCTTCCCTCACTGCTGTTGTGATAGCCTTAAAAACTACTGCACAGAATCTGTGCCTGAAACTCTATTCCATCCCAGAAGAGGTGATTTGTCCAAGCCAGAGTAGATGTTTCACAGGAAGCATATTTAACTGGCAATAAAATCACAGAGATTGGCCAGAATCTTTGAAGTCTTTCCCTGAAACCCCTGGCAGATCTCGGAAGTTCCACTGGGCAGAACTGGGCCATGTGTCTATGCTCTCTAGCTGTAGTCAGTTTGCTTCAACAAACTGCTGGGTGTACTCTTGGTATTGAATACAGGGACTTTGCCGGGAGTACAGGCACTTAGATTCTTTTAATTGGTTCTACTGGCCATGTCCAAGAAAATGTGGGCCTTGCCTTTCTTGTGCCTTGTTCAACAAAGAGCGTTAGGGAGCAAGCCATTTTTCACTAGATGATTTGTCAATTTTGTTCCTTCCATGTTTGGAGGAGACAGTGTTTTCTGGAGCTTTCTTTGTGGTGGTAGAAGATAGGCAACAAGACAGACTGGTCTTGGTGTGTCCTTCACCAGGAACATGGAAGATTCTTCCTCATGTTGGGTGGTCAGGAAAGGCCTCTCTGATAAGCAGTCATTTAAGCGGAGAGCTGAAAGTTGGCCAATGAAATTTCAGCGTGGCAAGGAAATTGTACAGTCAGCTAGGACCTCTTCATTTTGAATATTATTTTCTATTTTTTACTTGAAAAAATCTCAGGTAAAATAAGTTCAAATTTTGCCTTCAGATTAGGCAATGGTACATTGTGATATTGGTGTGAGTTTGGCAAAAGAAGACATGAATGCTCAGATCTTGATAATACCAGCTTTTTCAGCTTTACAAACCATTGTCAAATGCCCTGAACTATAGATTTCTGGCTGATTTCTATGTTGAGCCCAGTAATGCTCCATCATATTACATAGATGATTTCAAAAAAGTGAAATTAAGTACCTAAAGAAGCTTAGCTTCTTTCAGGAATGCTCCAGAACCCTTCTGAATGGTGAACTCTACAGTTTTCACCATATTGTGGCCTGAATTAGCTCCACAGGTATGATGCTGTTGTTGTCTCTAAGAGTCTCATCTATCTTTCTAAAGGGCTCCCCTATATACCTAAGGGCACTGACCCCTTTCAGACAGGTTATTACACTTCTCTGTTGCATATGGTTCCTTTAGGCAAAACTATTCCACTCCTAACAACTTTTATACTTTCAAAAAGAGAATACAAACAAAATAAAACAAAGGCCAAATATCTCTATTTCATATTCTAAGTATCTACAGAAAGGTTCCATGGTTGAAATGAGGCAGTATAACATTCTGACATATACTACCCTAACATCATTCCAAAGCCTCTTTGACTTTGGGAAAGAATCAGGTTTAGTTTCTAAACACTCTTTGACCTTCAATTAATTATCCAGAGCTTGGTTGCTAAACACTCTGCCCCCTAAAGTAGTATACTGCTCATTCTGTTTTATTTATTTATTGTTTTACTTTGAATATTTTCTTTTTACCACTTCCTCAGTCCCCAGAGTTTTTTTCAGAGTTGGGCTTCTTGATAGTAGTGTGTCTCCTGGGGGGGATCAAGACTATCTTGATGGACAAAGGTAAAATACATTAAAAAGCTAAAATAAAAGATGGCGGAAGGTTTTCTTTTCATTCAAGTTCTTTGAGGAGCAGTTTCTGCTTTTCTAGTGATATTAGCACGTTCTACTCTATTAATCTTTTTGGAAAGAGAAATGTAATCCCTATGCTATTTTCCAGGGTTCTGAAGCTATAAGGTACACAAAATACACTTATCTGGAAGCCTTTGGAGAACCACAGAAACCATGTTTCTAAGGACTATTCTCTGCTTTTCGCTTTCTGTTTCATTTTATGTGGCTGCTAAAAGCCCCTCAACTGTCCCGCAGTTTAATTAAGATAAACAGGCCCCATTGCCCAGAATGAGTCGGGATGAATACTCCAGTCCTGGAGGAAGACAGTGGAACCGAGCAGTTTCCAGGGAGGGGACTAGAGGCGAGCAGCAGGTCACCGACGCTGGTGGAACCCAGCGCAGAGCGTCGCCGGAATTCGGAGCCGCGGGTTCGGCGGGGAAACTTGGGACGCGGTGGAGCTGGCGGACCTCGGTGACAGACTCGGCTGCGGTCGGGGCGGGCAAGCGCGGCACTTGAAGACTGCGGCGGCGCTCCAGGAGGTCCCCGAGGCCGTGCGCTCCGCCGAGCGCCACGCCGAGCGCCGTCTCGGGTGTTTACCGGCGTCCTAGCAACGGCTCGGGCGGCGGCCGGACCGCGGGCGGCGGGCTCCGGAGGCGCTGCAGGTGGGTGCAGCGCGGCGGACCCCGCGCCAGGTTGCCGACGGTGGAGGACCCGGGGCCGCCCCCAGCCCCGCGGCCGTCTCTCTCTCGGTCCTCCCTTTCTCGGCTAGGAGCGGAGCCCGGCTCTCTCCGTCCTGGTCCCCCTCTCCGTCACCTTCCCTGCCTCGGCCGGCCCGGACCTCGGGCCCCTCCAACCCGTCTCCACCGTCCAGGCTGAATCCTCTCCCCCAGCCGCTCCCCGTCTCCTTCCCTTTTCCTCCGCCCGCCCTCGCGGCTCTGCGTCCTCACTGTCCCCCCGGTCTCTGCCGCCCCTTCCTACCCCGTCCCTGGAAACGCAGCCTCCTCGTGAAGGTGGGGTGGGGGCCGGCGTCGCGCCGCCTTGGGCTCGTGTCAGTTCTGGAATTTTGGGTTTTCTGTAGGTCCCAGGGACTGGCTTCTCGATGCTGAGAGTGCGGGTGTGCTCTGGCTCCCCAGGGGGGTTACCAGCAGGTTTCAGAGTGGATGGCCACGTTTCCATTGCTTTCTAAAGAGCTTGGTTTCGCCTCCGCTCCAGGGTCACAGAGATTGTGCACGAAAGGGTTTCATTTTATTAATGATAGTCGAAGCTCAAAACGGATTTGGAAAAAGAAAAACCAAATTCTATCTACTGGATCTGAAGAGAAAAGGAGGAGACTGTGATTCCCAGTTTGTGTAAACAAACACCTACATGGAAACCTTTCTCCTTTTATCTTTGAACTTTTTTTCTTTAAAATTTACTTTAATTCAAATATATGTACATTGTGTTTGCACAGATTCATCGTAACCATGGTTTTTTTTAGGCCTAAAGACTTAAAGGATTGGTGATGGGTAGACACCAGAAGCAGCCTATCTTGATAAGTTTTGGTTTTAGTATTTTTGCCTGAGTTATGCTGACCTCATTTGAACACTCTCCCCCACCCCCCAGTAATATTGCACTTGTCTTCTGGATTGACATAGATCCCTAAGGTTTGCTTATGGCTTCTGCTAACCAGCCTTCTTGAATAAAGCTGGTGTATCCCTGTGGCTCCTGGATCAAAACAATTTGAATAGATTCGAATGTAAGTTTCACTTACATTTCTATAAAATTTCTCATGACAAAAAGATTTTTTTTTTTGTATTTGTTAGTTCCTTTCTAAATTGTTTTCTAAGAAGTTATTGTATGGTATGTTGACTTCCACAATTTTATGTAATCTATGCAATTTCACATTATTCTTAAAAAAGGTGTAGGAAGGAAATGAGGCAATCACTACATCTTTATAAGATCACCTAAACAAATGTTATGCTTAAAATTAAAAAAAGAACAGAACTGTCCATCAAAGCCTTTCTGTGTAAGATAAAGCTATTTGCACTTATTCTTAGTTTATATTTATTCTCATGACATGGGGAAACTCAAGTGCCACACTAACATCAATATGTGCTTATATGTTTGAATCTAAAACATTTTCTGTCAATTAACAATAGAAACAAAATAACAAAAAAATTGTACACTAATTACACATATTTCACTAGTGCTATCTATCTTGATCAGTTGTTTCAACTCTATCTGATCCAATGCTTGTTTTTTTGTAATAAATATTCTATAATGCTACTTTACTATTCTGGAATCAAGATCATATATAATAATCCTACATATGTAATATAGTTTGGAATATTGATAGTATTCTAATTGCAAAAGGAAAATTGAATGGAAAATAATTATAAATGCTTAGGTACCACCATGCTAGAATATATAAGAAAGTTATCAGATGCTACTTAGGCCAAATGCAGGCTGTCATTGCAACTTTAATTTTGCAATTGAGGTCTGTCATTGCAACTTTAATTTTGTCCATAACATTGCCACCAATAGCATATGCCTTTCCAAAATGCTGAGCTCTTGGTAAAATGAAATATGTACAGTCTTCCTTTCATTTATATGACAGTTACAATCCTGGAAAATTCAGCATGTTATGCTATGTATGTTAAAACTGGGAAAAAATACTTGGTGATTTTTGTAAAGTAAGAAAAATTCCAGGCTCACATATTGCTTATCTGAAGTTTTTCTCTGACCAGATACCTTTAGGTTGCAACAGAATTCTTCCTCTTGGGTTATTGTCCTACACAAAAGGACATTGGGCATTCTTTGTCTTCATCACTAAATGCCATTGGTGTCCTCTTTCTTTCATTTTGGTAACTAGATGCCTTTATAATATTTCTATACTGCTTCCGAGCAGGAATTAGTGCCCTTTTTAGAGTGCTGAAATCCTTTTATTGGGTTTCAAGATTTAATACACTATGGAAAGTTTAATCTCCAAGTCATTTCTGTAGAATCTTATATTTCTGGGCCTTTGTAATAATAATGGATAAAAAACCTGAATATATTCGATATTTAACTTTGTAACCATTTATCTAGTATTCAGGAAAGAAGATTTTAATGATCAGTATTATTACAAATGAGAGCACACACAAGTATAGTTTATTTGAAAACAATACCCATTATGAATTAACATCAGAACTTGTTTTCAAAATTGATTCCTATTTAATGTTACAGATAATGTCATCTTTTAAAAGATCTTTTAAAGACTAAATTTTGATTTAGCCAAGGTGAAATTTATTTCATTTGAATTTTGGTTTTAAATATTATTGTTAGGCTGTTTTGATAGCCAATTTAGATAACAGTCCAAGAAGACTTTCTCTTCTTGTTTCTGTCACATTTGTTCTCAAAAAAAGTTGTGAATTACAATAATTTTTGTTTTCATTCTGTGCAACATGAATGGGCAGGGGATATAAAATTTGGATTGTTAAAATATTCTCATGATAGGATCAATATGTTCTATACTAATTTTCAGAAAAAATTAAACTTATACTTCACAATTGCATTCTTATCCTGCTTCTTATTAATTCAAAAGGCACTTGGGGGAACTTACAGAAGTCTCAGTATAATTCTAAATGATGTCTGGCCCACATCAAATAAGCACTTCTCACTCAAACCTCCAGCACCCCAGCAGAGCTGTGAAGCAAGGCACTTGCTGCCAGCCACCTCCAGTTCTTTTTCCACTCTTTGAATTTTCTGTTTGGGTTTTCTGTCCAGCTGTTTGAATTCTCTTTCTTAGGCCTGAGACTCTTAGAAAGAAGTTATTAATTTCAGAGCAGGCAGATATTGATACTAGTCCTTTGATACTAGTCAGGTTTATTTATTTATTTTATTATTTACTGTAAACCTATTTTATTGAATTGAAGAGTAATTAGATAATTAAAAACGGAGCCTCTCAGATGAAGAGACAGAATGAGGGTTGGGTTACACTGGTTTAAAATCTTGGAAAATGTTCCAGGGGAAAGGTGGATGCTGTTGCCTGCTCTAACTCTTTCTACTCCGATAGAGTGTGAGCTCAGATCCCAGTGTGAGCTGTTCCCATGGGCGTGGCACTCACAAGATCTGCACAATGGACTGCTTCGGGTTATGGCACTGGAACCCTGGAGATTACCCCCCTGAACGAGGAGATATTGAGAGAAATTATTGTGTTTGTGGAGCACTTTACTCATAAATATCCCCAAGAGGCGAAATTTGTTTTTGTAGAACCACTTGAATGGAATACAGATTTGAAGCCCTCAGCATTTCAATCAGGTTATTTTTTCAGGTAAGCCATTTCATTACTTCTAGAATTTAATATCATCATTGCCTCTATTTTTATTGACTGATTGTGGGTTTTGCACAAGTCATGTTCCCTCTTCGAATCTGAGAAATCCTCTAAACAAGGGATTGTAAACTGAAGGCACTCAGATGAAATTTGAGGATATCTCAGTTGGCCAATGTAGTGTTTATGTATTTTTCAAATTCAAATCTCATTTTCTTTTGATAGAGGACACATTCTCCAGGTCACCATTCCCAGCATTCACTGCTGCCTCTTGCTTGGCCTATTCATCTATCCAAATTATCTGTCAGATGTCAGTCACTGGTTTTGTGACTTCTGATATAGACAGAAATCTCTTCTAGTATTTAAATCTCATTTCATGTAGTGATGGGGAGAATGGTGAATTTTGCTCAATATAAGAATGAGACATCATAATTAGTGCTATTCTCAAATGAGATCCTTTTGAATATTGGATTTAAAAAAAATCCTACCACCAGCTTGAACAAGTGGTATCAGTTCATCTTTTTTGATCATAAGTAAATAAATAAATAAGCATACATACATACATACATACATATATACATATACATATATACATATACATATGTACAAGTACACATATACACATTTGGATTGTATAATAAGTAAGCAAGCAAATGGGTAGTTACTTTAGCAAGGATGCAGCCCCAGTTTATTGTGTTCTCTTGTCTACTTCCTTGGCCACTTTTGGTTTTGCAAATACACTTTTCAAATCTGACCTTTTCAAAAACAGTCCCCTAGCTGGCCAGAGGTTCCTTTCAAAAACAGTCCCCTGCTTTTCCTCCTCCTTCCCTTTGGGATTATATTTGTGACAATAAGGTCAGAAATTCGTTTTTAGAACTTAAAACACATTCTTGAACTGCATTTAAGAGCTCTTTAGTTCTTATATTGGTCTTCCTTCTCTGAACAAAGAACCAAGAACAAAGTTATTGGTGTATTTTATGTCTGACTCTGCCAAGGGTCACTTTTTCCCAAAGCACTGGTCATTACCTGAGGCTTCATTGATCCCAACTAAGTTTAGTGTTTTTTCTTACTTTGAAGGATGAACTCACCTACAGAACCGATTAAAAACACATTAACTACTTTGTACAAAGATGACTTTAAAGCAGATGACAGAAAAGAATATCAAGATTGTCACTGTATTTGGCTTCTACACTCATTCTGTGTTCCAAGTACACACACAACCACAGCTGCCTACTAATTTTGTGGATGTAACACACTCCTCAAATGTGTCACTTTTTTTCCTTCTCTATCCTTGCCCAAGTTCTTTTTGCTTTATTTTGTAATTGTATCTCTGCATAATCTTTATGTACAATACTCCATCCTAAGCAAGGTGTTTTGATACCATGTATGTTTTGAAACAACTGCTCCCTGATTGTCTTACTTCTGTCAGATTTACTATGCAGCTTTCTCTTCGTGTAATTTTTCTAGCCATTGCTTTAATTTTTGACCTTGATTGATGATATCTTTGATGTTGATGATGAAAGAAGTTTGGTACTTGTTTATTGTATTGGAAGGAATACATGTTTGTGTGATTCTGATGAAAACCTGATAAGTACTGCTTGCTTCAAAGAATGCAAAGGATAGAGCTGAGGTTTTGGTGATAACCAAAGTACCAAATGCTTCCGCATCCAGGTCTTGACTATACCTCTTGTTCTGTGCACCAAACCCAAGGATGTTCAGCAATGTATAACCACTTGGTGTTTGTTATAAAGCAAAGGAGATAAACCAGAGATGCCCTTATGGACTAGAAGAAACCATTATTAAAATAGCCCCATCAGTAGTTCATTCTTTGCTCCTTTGGTTTACCTGAATTCATCTGGCTTAGCTTCTGACACTCAGTGCACTATTTATACATTTACTTTAAGTGGGGAAGCTGTTTTCCTTTGAGTTCTGTGTGTCTGTGCATAAGGACAAAGTCATCCTGAAAGACTTGAGTCTGGAGTCCCTTGGTTGTATTTCCACCACTTAAGAATGTCCTTGGATGTTTTTATATAAAGGAATATGTTTTTCCTTGCACATGTACTTTCTCTCAGGTCTTTTGTTCTGAGACAAATCAATTTTATCTACCCTAAGTCTGTGAAGTAGGAAAGCTACCCTTTGTGTTGGTCTCTGCAGATATTGATGGGACTGTGTTTTTATTTGTGTACTTATTTCTTATTTGATTTTGTACATCTCCAAATGCATTCTCTGTGGAAGCTAATAAAAGTTTGATCAGCCTTCTGAATTAGGTGAGTGAACGTCTGATATTTGAAACTGAACCTTTACACATATTGAAAAGGTCTTACATTTCATTGCTATCTTCTTTCCGTTTGTGGAGACTGCTATTTAATTGTATAGCCACAGCACCTTTCACATGTTGCACAATTCATCTTTTCTTCTAGAATTGTTTCCAACAAACTTGTCCTGTAGTAACATCTGTCATCATCTCTCCATGTTTAACTTGTTTTGGGAAAGTATCTTTACATTCATTTCCACAAAAATCATAGATGTCTTTTTATTCCCATTTACAATTGCTTTTTGTTCTTAGCAGGAAAAATGAGATTAATAATCTTCCTAAAACATTTCAGAATGAATCCCCAATTCATTGTCAGCTGAAGACAAATGACATCAAACAATGGTAATACCATCTATATTAGTTAGTTTTTCATTGCTGTGACCAAAATACCCAACAAGAACAATTTAGAGGAGAAAAATTTATTTTGGGGCATGGTTTCATGGTTAGCTGAGTCCATTTCTCTGAGATGGAGGTGGGCAGAACACCGGGAAGGACTTTGTAGAGGAAAACTTTTCAACTCGTGGCAGCCAGCAAAGAGAAAGAAAAAGGAGAGAGAGGGGGATGGGGAGGCATGTCAGGGACAAAATATAGTCTCCAAGGCCATAACCCCAGTGACCTACTTCCAGCCATGCCCCACTTGCCTACAGTTACCACCTAGTAATCCATTCAAATTACCAATTTATCAAATGATTAATCTGCTGATGAGATTACAGCTCTCATAATCTAATTAATTCATCTATGAACATTTCTGCATGCTTAACACATGAGCTTTTTGGGGGATACCTCAGATGCAAACCCTAGCAATCAACTGGTGGTATACAGAGCTAAGATGATTTGATTCTCTAGAATGGAGCTTGGGAAATTTATAAATTGGACAATTATTCAGAATCACTATGGGAAAAATATTATTACCTGCTCTTTCCTTTCCTTCTCTGATAGAACTATGTTTTGTGAATCATGTCTGCTCTGTTATTACAAATGTTTTACTTACCAATGTCATTCCACTGTGTCTCAGTGATATGTATGAGTTGGGACAAAGTATATGTTAGCTGGAAATTAGATTGAGCAGGTCCTGGTCCCTGTAGTAATGCAAACTTTGGGCACAATTTATACCATTTTGGGCCTTTGTTTTCTGACTCAATATAATGAAGGTATGAATTACACAATCACTCAATCTACAAAAATGAGAGTTTTGAGCCCAATTCCAGTTTAAAAGTTTTCCCATCAAGACTGTGGATTGCATTAGCAACACGTTCTTGAGCTTCATAAACTGTGTGCATTGTTTTTCTTTCCAAGGGCACGTTCTTCCATGTTAGCTATGGTGGAAGCTGAAACTTACTCTTATGCATCCCCTCTACAGCTGGTGCTTTCCCACTTCTCCTTTAAGGTACAGGCTTCATCGGGTACCAGCAGTGAAAATGACATGTGGGCACTTCAGTCTCCAACTTCTCATCAGGAGTTTCACTGTCTCCAGTGAAGTAGTTTGACATTTTTAGTACTTGGTCATCCTCTAACTTAGCCCTCTTACCATCCATTTCCCTTGAGGGACCAGCCCTTTAAAATGACTAACCTTCAGGTACAGGGCTCCAAGAAATCTCAATCCTAAAAAGCCTTTATTCCAGAAGCTGAATTTTGTTGAAAATATACATACAACCTATCATTAGTAACTCAAGAAGCATTTCATTTATTCCACAGATAGTAATTGAGCATCTCTGTGTGTGGTTATTATTTGAGGTACTGGGGATAGAGCAGAATCTTATCTGTCACAGATAGTGCCAGACGGACAGTCTCTGTATTAGCTTCCTACTGCTGACGTAACAAATCACCGCACATTTAATAGCTTACTATCTTGTCGTTCTTCAGCCCAGAAGACTAAAATGAATTCGCAGAGCTAAAATCAATGTGTTGGCCGAGCTGTGTTCCTTCCAGAAGATCAAGAAGAATTTGTCCTTTCCTTCCCCAGTTTCTTTTGGTTCTGCATCACTCTGACCTCCGTTTCCATTGTCATTTCACCTCTGACTCTGACCCTCCTGTTCTCCTTTTATAAGGACACTTGGGATCACATCTATCTCAGATCATCCAGAATTGTCTTCTCATCTCAAGAACCTTAACTCGATCCATCTGCAAAGTCCCTTTTTCTATGTAAGGGAACGAATCCACAGGTTTGGGGAATTAGGATGTGGGGCATTTTGAGGGGGTATCATTCTGCCTCCCACAGTCCCTAAGTGCTTGTTTCTATCCTAGTAAGATAGTGAGATGGTCTGGATAAGTGTCTCCCAAAGGGCCATGTGTCTTAGTCCTCAGCTTGGTGTTTTAGGAACCTGTAAGAAGTGGTAGAACTTTTTTTTTTAATACATCTGTAGTACCATTTATTTATTTATCTATGTATTTATTTAATGTGGTGCTGAGGATTGAACCCAGTGCTTCGCGTGTGCTAGGCAAGCATTTTACCGCTGAGCCACACCCCCAGCCCCAACGTGGTAGAACTTTTAAGAGATGGAGCCTGGTGGAAGGAAGCGAGGTGGTCAGGGGCATGTCCTGGAAGGGGATATGTTTCTCTTGTCCCTCTTCCTCCTTTCTCTTTGCTTCCAGTCTCCATAAGATGAGCAGATGCAGCACCATTCTGTCCCTGCCATGTATGTTGGCTTGTCACTGGCCCAAAGCAACATGGCCAAATGGTCACAAACTGGAACCTCTGAAACTCTAAGGCAAAATGAGCCTTTCTTCTTTTTAAGTTTAGTATCTGCAGTATTTTCCAGTAACAACAACAACAAAAAAAACCTGACAGTGTCAGTGGCAGGTAACATGGGTCTGTCAGATTCATTCTTCCCGGTGAACTAGGCACATTTCACATCTACTTATCTGCAACTTGATTATGTTAGATCAAGTCTTAACATGTGGGCAGTTTAATCATGGATATCAATGTATAATTTAAAAAAGCTAGACAATTTGATCAATGTTATAAGTGGTAGAAATCTGTAGAAATTTCATTTCCAGAAAAATGCCTTAATAATTTTTAAATGCCAACCTAAAAATTTAAAATGAAAAGAAAATTAAAATTGACAGAAAGAAATCCAGGAGACCCAATAATGTATGATCAGGAAAAGCCCATTTAGCCCATTATTCTCAGGTGAACCAAATGAGTGAGTTTAGCATGGAAAGATAATCCACAAAGAGGATATAATTTGCCTTTTTGTCATAGCTTTTTTTCTTCATAAATACAGTGTAGAGAAGAAAATTCCTAACCACTAATCACTGTGGTGTAAACAATTCATAAATAAGATAACATTAGAAATCCTCAAGCATAAATGGTTCAGTAGAACCAGTGCTTTTTAAAAAAGATGTCAGAAACCAGCATACTGTCAGAGAAACAAAAATGAAACTGTGATTAGTTTAGTTCAGTTGTGAATTCTGGAAATTGTCTTATGTTTAGTTTTCTGGATGTGTCCTGTTGCTCACTATGATTGCTGGTAAGTCTGGGGATTTAAGTGTCTGAGTGGGTATGCAAAGAAGGAAAATAGATTTGTTTCCAAACAGAGGTACTTATATTTCATGTGTATTATAATGAGACATAATAATAATCTGTCTAAATGTCTTAAATTTAACTTCTACTGACATCCAGGTAACATGAAGCTTTCATTTTTTTCTTTCCATCTTTAGTGATACAACAGTTGAGTCAGAAGAAGTGGATAAGAATAGACAGCCTTTGCTGTTTCTCTCTGTACCAAAAATTAAAGTCAGGAGCTTCGGGCAACTGGCATACCTGTTATTCATTGCCAAAGACACAAAGCTGAAGGAGGCACAAGCGTGTATTGAAGGTGATATTTATGCCCCCGTCTGGGATTTGAACTTTTAGAAGCATAATCTTGTGTGTGTGTGTGTGTGTGTGTGTGTGTGTTGAGGGGTGTCATTTACTAAGGTCTCTTTAAAAAGATCTGCCATTTAAAAGGTGAAAAGTCAAGCTGGGGTTGTAGCTCAGTGGCAGAGCACTTGCTTAGCGTGTGTGAGGTACTGAATTCAATCCTCAGCACCACATAAAAATAAATAAATAAAATAAATATATTGTGTCCATCTACAACTAAAAAATTTTTTTTAAAAGGTGAAAAGTTATGTGTGCTGCTTCATGAGAACGCCATTAATTTTTCCTTAGCTAAACTGCTATGCTCATATCAAATTTCGGCTTTAAAATAAAAGGCCTGATCCTTTACCATTAGTAGGCTTGTAGGTCTCTCATTTTTCCATGTGATTTAAACTGGAAAGACAAGTGGCCTGTAGCCTATAAGTCACATTGGAAGAGAAGACAGACTTCTAGGACCAACTTCTGAATCCACTCTCTACCTTGACATGCTGCTATGATGGATGCTCACTTGTTCCCTTTAAATGAATGTGGGCTCTTCCTTTGGCAGAGATGGCCCTTAATACATCACATTTCCTTTTCTGAGTCTCATTCCATGTTGCACCTCACAGCCTTCTGTGAGTAGTTATATTCATTCACCTCGACAGGAAATATTTTTCTTCTTCATTAAAGATATATAATGAGTTCATTATCATCCAACCATCTAACATGCAAAAAATGTGATTGGTTTCCTGCTATAATTGTGTTTAAATGTTTCTTTTCAGTAGAAATGCCTAATCATAGGTGATGATGTGTTGTCTGTGTTATGCTTTTTGGGAATTATGTGACCAGTGGATCCCAACACAAGGTCCTTGAGTTCTGCCCATTTCTGTGGGAGGTGGGCAGAAAGTCCTTAAACAAACAGACAGACAAACAAAAAAGGTGTCAGTCTCACGATAGCAGCATCTTTTATCTCACGCCTACTCTTCATTTGGGGGCTCTGTGCACATCGAAGCTGCTTTCCTAACAAGGATGAAATCTTGAATGTAAAGCTGAATTCCAATGGTAGTTGACAGGTGAGACAAAATACATGGAATGCTATATATATCTGGTTTGGCCAAATATTCTTTCCTACATTTTATCCATTTCAGTTTAGGTGAAACCCTTAATTTCAGGTCTCAAATGCATAGTACATGGCAATTTGGTAGTCAGGTTTATGTCTTCCCTTAGAATTCACCTAGTATGAATTTTTTAATGTTTTTTAAAAACATTTTATTGGTTCTTTTTAGTTATACATAACGGTACAATCTAGTTCAACATAATTATACAAGCAGGGGATATATCTTAATTAGGACCCCATTCTTATGGATGTACACGAGGGTAAGACTTACTGTGGTGTATTCATGTATGCACATAGGAAAAATTAGGTCAGATTCATTCCACTGTCTTTCCCTTTCCTATCCCCCCTTCTTTTCTCTCCTTCCCCTTTGTATAATCTACTGAACTTCTATTCTTTCTCACTCTTCCCCTTACTGTAGATTAGCTTCCACATATCAGAGAAGACATTCAACCTTGGCTTTTGGGGATTGGCTTATTTCACTTAATATGGTAGTTTCCATATCCATCCATTTACTGGCAAATTATAAAGTCATTCTTTTTAATTTTTTTTATTTGTTCTTTTTAGTTATATATGAGAGTTAGTTATACTTTGACATATTGTACATACATGGAGTATAACTTCCTATTCTTATGGTTGTAAATGATGTGGAGTTACACTGACAGTGTGTTCATATATGAACATAGGAAAGTGATGTCCAATTTATTCTACTGTCTTTCATATTCCTATTCCCCCTCCCTTCCCATCATTCCTCTTTATCTAATCCAAAGTACTTCTATTCTTCCCTCCCCCACCCTTATTGTGTTAGCATCCACATATTAGAACATTTGGCTTTTGGCTTTTTGGGGGATTGGTTTATTTCACTTAGCATGATAGTCTCCAGTTCCATTCATTTACCAGCAAATGCCATAATTTCATTCCGTAGAGCTGAGTAATATTTTATTGTATATATACATTATTTTTTCATCCATTCATCTGTTGAAGGGCACCTAGACTGACTCCATAGCTTAGCTATTGTGAATTTAGCTGCTGTAAACATTGATGTGTCCGAGTCACTATAGTGTGCTGATTTTATGTCCTTTGGGTATATACTGAGGAGTGGGGTAATTGGGTCAAATTGTGGTTCCATTCCAAGTTTCCTGAGGAATCTCCATACTGCTTTTCAGAGTTATTGCACCAATTTTCAGCCACACCAGCAATGTACGTTTTCCCCCACATCTTTGCCAACATTTATTGTTACTTGTATTCTTGATAATCGCCATTGTGACAAGAGTAGGATGAAACCTCAGTATAGTTTTAATTTGTGTTCCTCTAATTGCTAGAGATGTTGAACACTTTTTCATATATTTTCTCAATGATCATATTTCTTCTTCTATAAAGCGTGTGTTCAGTTCCTTTGCCCATTTATTGATTGGGTTATTTGCCTTTTTGGTGTTAAGTGTTTTGAGTTCTTTATATATCCTGGAGATTAATACTCTGAGGTGCAGCGGGCAAAAATTTCCTCCCATTTGGTAGGCTTTCCCATTCTTCATGCTCTTATTTTCTTTGCTATAAAGAAGCTTTTTAAAAACAATGTCATCCAATTTAGAGATTTTTAATTTACTTCTTGTGTTTTAAAAATCTTATTAAGGAAGTGAGTTCCTGACCTGATATGTGGGAGTGTTGGGCCTACATTTTCTTCTAGCAGGTGCAGGGTTTCTGGTCTAATTCTTAGGTCTTTGATCCATTTTGAACTGAGTTGTGTGTAGAGTGAGAGATGGGATGAATTTCATTCTATTACATATGGATTTCCAGTTTTCCCAGCACCATTTGTTGAAGAGGCTGTCTTTTCCCCAATATGTGTTTTAGTGCCTAGTATGGGGAACCATATTTATGTGAGTTTGTGTCTTCTATTCTGTACCATTGGTCTTTAGGCCTGTTTTTTTTTGTGTGTGTGTGCCAATATCGTGTTATTTTTGTTATTATAGCTCTGAAGTATAATTTAAGATCTGGTATTGTGATGCTTCCTCTTCACTTTTCTCACCGAGGATTGCTTTGGCTATTCTGCGTCTCTTATTTTTCCAAATGAATTTTGTGACTTCTTTTTCTAGTTCTATGAAGAATGTCATTGGAATTTTGATGGCAATTGCATTGAATCTCTGTAGTACTTTTTTTTTTTAGTATGGCCATTTTAACAATGTGAATTCTGCCTATTTAAGAACATGGGAGGTCCTTCCATCTTCTAAGGTCTTCTTGAATTTCTTTATTTAGTGTTCAATAGTTTTCATTATAGAGATCCTCCACATCATTTTTTAGATTGATTCCCATGTTTTTTTTTTTTTTTGAGGCTATTGTGAATGGGATGGTTTCACAAATCTTTATGACATAACAGGTTGATGAGTCAGACTGCTGGGCAATGGCTGATTCCTTGGTCTCCTTCTCAAGGCTTCTCTTCTCCCCACCCATGCAGTCCTTTCCTCAGCATTACACCTTCAATACAATTTCTTGGTGGCATAGCCATTTCCTGTTAGAAGGTTAAGACCATCATTTCAATCAAGTCAAACTTCCTTAACTAGTCCAATTGGCATCACCCTCTAACTTGTCCCAATAAATATGAATTTTCATCTTTTTTGAAGTGCTTCATTTCAAACAAGTTTTTCACCCTTTCTCCCTCATTTCAACCACATTGGATTTTTAATTTTTTTAGGTGTAGTTGTACACAATAGCTTTATTTTATTTATTTTTATGTGGTGCTGAGTAATGAATTTAGTGCCTCGCACGCGCTAGGCAAGTGCTCTACCGCTGAGCCATAATGCCAGCCACACCACATTGTTTTTGATATTTACCAAATTCTGTTTTCAGCATCTTTAGGTTCAAATTGCACATCTATGTCAGCCCTGTTCATGAGTTTGTATTTAAATTTTTGTACATAATATTGGTACAAATGTAAATGGCTATATTTATTTTTCTAACTCTAACATCAAAGGACATTGAGAATACAAACATTTAGAACAAGTGGAAAAGAATGACAGTGGATCTGTAGACTGAAGGGATCATGCTGTTTATAAAAAAAAAAAAAAACATTTATGAACCTTGAGCACCGACACACAGACACAGCTCTATAAGTGACTCTTTTAAAGGGATTAATATTTGTATTCTGAATAAATGAATTGAATGCCTATTCTGAACAATGCTTCATCTTCAGTAAGGAGGGGATCAGAGGCAGGGGAGGAAGCCAGTTCGTCTTGGTCTTTGTTCTGTTAGAAAAATAATGTACATAGATGATACTATAATACAAGCAAAACATCAAGAGGTCTAAGTTCCTAAGTATAATAGAGATGAATTCTATTTGGGTCAATCAGAGGAAGCTTAATGAAAGACATTTCAGAGGGGTTTGATGGATTTGTTAGTCTTTGTGTATTTGTACTGGAAGACAAGAGGATTATTTTTATTTACCTTTTTTTTTTGTCAGGTAACAGAGACCCAGTAGTAAAAATCTTGGGCTCCGAATTTGGGGAAATGAAAGAAGACTCCATTGCCTTAAATATCCTTAATAAAATTAAAGCAGAAGATGATTATGAAAATGAGATTAAGATGAAGATTGCCATATTGCTTAAGGAACTAGATCTGCACCTTCTCAATCATACCCTAAAATATATTTCACTGTGAGTCTTTTATCAGAGAAATCTCTAAAGCTTAGTTGCAAAAGTTGCTTTCAAAGTTTTAAAGGAAAAATGCCCCAAAAAAGTATGGAAATTATTTATTTTCAAAGACTCTTAAGACAATGACAAAGTCTTAGATTATAGCACAAATACCATACAGAGTTTGTATAGTTCCAAATGTATTCATATTTATAGTATTTTCTAGTTGTATGGCATTATTAAAAATGAAATGAATATTTGAATATTTGCATATAATTAGTGTTACATCCAACACGAATCACTAATTCATTGATGTTTTGATAATGTTACAAGATTAAAATGTGACTAAGTTTAAACTAAAATTTTAATTACAAAAAAAGAGAGATTCCTTTTTATATAATGGAATGTGTTCATGTATTTCCTGTAGATTCTGTTTTAAAGTGCTTAAGCTATTTTTTTAAACATTTATTGCAGGCAAATAAGTCTAAATCCAGTGACTGTTAAGAAAGATATAGAGCTGCTCCAACGTTTCTCAGGAAAAGGAGAAAAAACAGTCTTGGAATTTATTAAATATACCTCAGGTTTTGTATCAGATGCATTTTACTTATTTACTTTTTCATAGTTACATTGCCAAAATGCTTTCCTTGGCTACATCAGAATCATGTATTTAAGAAAATGAAAACTTAAAACTTTTACAGTATCTTGTTGATGCCAACACATTTTATAAAACTTGAAGTGGAGCTTCTCTTAGTGACTTGATGATTGTTTTCAGATTATGAATTTTCAAATGGATGTCGAGCCCCCCCTTGGCGACAGATTCATGGGGAGATGTGTTATGTGCTGGTAAAACCCCACGATGTCGAAGCTTTGTGCATTACTTGCAGCACAGAAGGAGTGTTTTTAAATGGTGTAAGTAATTTCTTAAAAACATAATTAAAGCCAGTTGACTTAAGTTCTTCACAAGTCTTTATAAATGCTGGTTTATGTCTTGTGTTCAGTTCTGATGACCACAGAGAATAGAATTCTGTTCCATGGAAATGAAGCAAATTCCTTTGCTCTTCTTCTGCTGGGCAAATTCAGAATAGTCCCAGAATCAGCTTCATTGTTCATCATTTCAGGTCATATAAGTCAACCTTCTAAGAAACAGACTTCAAAGTGACCCATTTCACTTCATAAAACTAAAATCTCCTTAACATAATATGTACATGGATTAGTTACATGGTCACTGAAGGTAAGAAAGGGCAAATGAGGACACTGAGATAATATATAACTAGTAACTTCAGCTTCCATCCTAAGAGCTGAAGGGACAAAGAGAAGCAGAGAGCATTATCCAAATGTAAAAGCTTAGAGGAAGTGTCCCGTAACACTGGGAACCTGGACCTCTGGAGAGAGGGCCACTTCTAGGCTGTGCTCATTCTCTCTGAGCCCAGACAATCTCCATGAAACCGGATCACAGACCTTTGGGGATTTGGTCCTCTCAGTTAGTGCTGGTACCTGATGAGCTCTGAGGAGAATCTGGAGGTGGAACAGGACATTGAAGATGAAGTCCTGGTCAGCTGATGGTGATATTTCTGAGGGGGTGTGAAGAGTCTGGTTGTGGGACTGTGGGAACAACAACTGGAAATTGGTACCAACAGTTGCTTCTAAAAGCAGTTGCCAATGCCAAGAGTAAAGAGCCATTCCCGGAATGACTCCATCAGGGACAGTGGTCACAAACAGGAAGTTGCATCTTCCTCCTTCTTCTTGCAGCTTTCAGTCTTGAGTTTCCTGTCTCCTGAATCTAACCTAACCTGGCAAAGAAGAAGTATAGCTTTGCAAAGTCCCAGTCCAAGTATCACAAAGCAGAGTCTGGGTGGGTGGCCTCTGAGCTAAGCAGCACATAGCTTTTTGAATCTTCGGTATTAGAACACTTTATTTTGGGTCTCATCCCAATTCACAGAAATAACCATAAGTGTTGTCAATCAATCTAGGGTTCTTTTGCTCAATTTGAAATAGCAATCCTCACCAAGTAAAGGAGATGTTATTGGGGCTTATGCTCAAGCCCAAGGGAGACAAAACAGGAGATGGGGTTCCAGCACTGACTTTCTGAAGAGATGGCAGATAAAATTCTTACAGTGTGACTGCTGACTGTGCAGGTGCAACAGTGGTTGTCGCACCAGGTCCAGGATTTCTGTACATGTCTCACATGCTGTGTGCTCAGCATAGAGATCTGCACTCTGCATGGTAATGTGGTTAGGTGCACTGGGTCCCTCTGTGCTCCCCTGGCAGAAAGATGGCCGAGGGCTCCTTGTTGCCCTCCAGGAAGATCATATAGTGATCAAGCCCCGGTCTCCTGAGCCAGTGGAGGCTGCAGGAAAGATGCTTTTCAAGCTTTGAAGGAAGCTGGTGGCTTAGATAAGGCTGTCTTGGGAAACATTATGTAAAAATCAGCTTTATATTAAAGGTGGAGAACATGTTGAGGAAATCAGACTTTTTAAATTCTGCCCCAGAAGGAGCTTAGCTTTCTTCTCTGCAACATGCCATCCTCAATATCATCAATGCAAATTTTGGACTTACAAGCAAAATTCTACAAGGAGGACCCAGATCCTCAATGAGGACCAGCTGTTATAGGGGACAGCTTGGGAGCTGTTACATCTTGGCTTGGGTTCATACCAAAATGCTGGTGCTGCTTCCATGGTTATTGCAGGTATCTCTCTCTTCAGGTGCACCTTTATTATTAGGTGCTTTTCTTTTTAGCATACACTTCATGTATTTCTGCACAGAGAAGGTAGACCCCAATTTTGCTTTTTTGGTTTGATAGTTAGGAAAAACAAAATCTCTAATTAGAAAATAATAGGCAAAAGAATGATTTTCTTTGACCTAGAGGGGAATCACGGCATTTTTGTTTCCATCAAAGGCTGTTGATCTACATACATACAATTTTAATTGATATGGAAAAATCTAAGTATTCCTCTCAGGTTTAAAAATTGAAAAGGATGATAAGAATATTCAATAGTTTAAAAAGATTAAAAACAGACAGCAGTTTTGAGTATGTATGTACATAATCTGTTATGGCAGAATAATAGGAAAGAAAAAGTAAATGGGGAAAAAAAGAGATAAGAAGGAAGAGGAACAGCAGCAGAGGAATGGACAGACAGATGGTTCCACAGAGATGGTTACCCTGGAAAATGAACCCATGGAGCCCTGTTACATGAAGAGCAAGAATAGAATATGATAAACAGAAACACAGCCTTTTCTGTAGTGACATTTTACCTTTGAGGCTTTTTATGACTTCATCAGCTAAGGTTTTTGATGTCACAGTACATTTTTCACAGTAGAGAATTATAAGGATTAGAGTTCTTACTTCTCTGCTGAATAGCAGAGTTCTCTACCTGCATTTGGAAGGTACTGAGTAGATGCTGAATGGATAGTGAATGGATGAAAGGATCATATTACGTTCAGGGAGAAGGGTTTAGTCTGTACGTTTCATGTACACTGACTGTCACATGACTAGGCGTGGCAGTGCACACCTGTCCTCTCAGCTACTTGGAAGGCTAAAGCAGGAGGATCACTTGAGCTCAAGAGCTCAAGACCAGCCTGAGGAACACAGTGAAATTCTATCTTAAAAAAAAAAAATAGAACTCCCACATGGATGAATGGATGAGAGATAGAGAGAGACAGACAGAAGGGGGGGGGGGCGGGAAAGAACAAATCTGTCTCTAGGCTCAGTTGTGTTGTACTGATCAGGTTCTTCATTCCTATTGCCTTAATCACAGCACCAAATTTTTTCTCTCAAAGGGAAAAACAGATGATGAGGGGGACATTGATTATGAAAGAAAAAGTGAAGTTTATAAAGACCTTGTCACACTTTTAAAAGAAAAGTCAGCAATATTTTCAGAAAATATGTCAAAACAGGTAAGTTTTATAGTCTCTTGAACTTTTACAACTTTAAATTATTTTGCTAGAGCTTTCTATGGTATAAAAAATTGGGAGAATAATATTGCCTATTTTTGGACATTGTTTTTCATTAGAGTATTTTCACAACATAACATAACTTTTATAAAAAGAATACTTTAAAAGTGTTTCTGATGGGGCTGAGGTTGTGGCTCAGTGGTAGTGCATTCACCTAGCACATGTAAGGCACTAGGTTTGATCCTCAGCACCACATAAAAATAAATAAAAGTTTTTTTAAAAAAGTGTTTCTGATTTTCTTTAGGCAATAAGCATAATATTACAAATTGCTTTCTAAATAGGGTTTTGTCCTCTTTCCTTTTGAATGAATGACACTAAGAACAAAAGACTTAGCCCTGGTGATGGCTCCTAGAAGCTCTGACTATATATCCTTTGTGGTCATCCCCTGATCACATCTACTTGGATTAAGGACTTATTAAGGACTACTTGGATTAAGGACACTCCCGATGAGTGTTCAGCACATGTGCACAAGAATGTGCTTCTTAGGGGAAATGCTTTTAGGTTTCCACCATTGAGTAGGATGTTAGCTATGGGTTTTTCATACATGCCCTTCATCTTGCTGAGAAATTTGTCTTCTGCTCAATTTTCCTTTTCTTGGTGCACCGCAACATTTAGTGAGCTTCCTGGGAGAAAGAAGCTCATAAACAAATGAAAATAAATTGATAGCACATTTGAAACTATCCTTCTTATTCTTTTTCAGTTGTTTTTTCTGGAATAATGGTTGAAAATCTTTTTTTAAAGCATTTTAAGGCTTTTCCCCTATTCAATCTACTTATTTTGTCTTTTCTCCTCTTCAGAAGCCTTAAAATCTTCCCTGACATTCTCTAACCTTCATGGTACAGCTTTTGGTAGTTCTTTTTTTTTCATAAATAGTTACATGTCCTATAGGACTGAAAAAAATATTTTCCACATTATATCTTTAATTTTTTGTCTCTAATCTCTTTTTGGAACTCTTGTTAGTTGGATATTGGGCCTCGGACTTTTCTGATCCTCTGATTTTCTTTTTTCTCATCCCACCCTACCTCAGCCGAACTTTCTGAAAACATTTTTTTTACTTGATTTTCCAAACATTGTACATGGTTTCAGATTTTAAACTCTCTTGTTTTTATTGTTTGTTTTTTTAATTTTAATTTTTATAGAATTTGGCACTTGTTTCATGAATTTTCTATCTTCTCCCAGTATATTGCTGACAGCTTTTTTTAAAGCTTGTTTTTTGTATTAGTTATGGTTCTACAGAGAAACAGATTCAATGGAGAAGTGTGGGGGAGAAGGAGAGGGAAGGAAAGAGAGAAAATGATAGAGAGAGGAAGGGAGAGGTATTTAAAAAAGATATTGGCTTATGCAGTTGTGGGTGCCAGTAAGTCTGAAATATGTAAGGCAATCTAGCAGGCTAGAAACTAAGGTAAAGTTGACATTTGAGTCTGGAGTCATAAGTCCTTAAGGTAGCAGGTTGGAAATCAGGCAGGGTTTTTATGTAGTCTTGGGGAGAAAATTTCAGTCTTTCCCATAAAGGTCTTTACTTTATTGAATGAGACCCACTTACATTATTGAAGGTACTCTATTTTATTCAAAGTTTACTTATTTAAATGCTTACCATGTCTGAAAAAGACTTATATAGCAATATTTAAACATATTTGACCAAAACAATTACCTTAGCCATGTTGACACCTAAAATTGACCACTGACACCTAAATTAACCATTGACACCCAAAATTAACAATTATATATTGTTTGCAGCATTGTTTCACTTTCTTTCAAGTCTCTTTTTGTTAGTTTTTGTTTCTATGTTATGTCAGATATTTTTCATAGGGTCTGAATTTCTCAAATTCTTCAAAGCCAGACAGAAAAAAGCCCTATGTCTGTGGGTTGGACCACTTGGAAGCTGGACCTGATTATAAAGTGTTTGGAGAAGATAGATGTACATAGATGCTCCATTGTTTGGGGCATAAATATTTATGATTGTCATGTCTTGTTGATGTATGATTCTGTTAAGCAGTATGAAATGCTTTTTTGTTTCTGATTAATTTTGGCTTAAAATCTACTCTATCTGATAAGAGAATGGTAACCCCTGCTTATTTATGAGGTCCATATGGATGGTATGTTTTTTCCTATCCCTTTCACCTTCAGTGTGTGGTTTTCTTTGTCTGTGGGGTGAGTCTTTTTCAGACAGCTAATTGGGTCTTGTTTTTTAATCCAGTCTGCAATCTATGTCTTTTAATTGAAGAGTTTAGACCATTTACATTCAATGTTATTACTGAGAGATGAATTTATTTCCTCCGATTATGATTTATATATTTCCAGTGTTTAAACTGGATTTGATTCTCCTCTGATTGACTATTCTTCTAGTGTAATCTTCCCTGTGCTAGTTTTCAGTTTTACATTTCATTTCTTCTTCATGAAATATTTTATTGAGTATGTTTTGTTGTAGTGAAGGCTTTCTAGTTATGAATTCCTTTAGTTTTTGTTTATCTGGAAAGCTTTTTATTTCACTTTCAATTTAGAAGCTGGATTTTGCTGTGTATAGTATTCTTGGTAGGCATTCATTATCTTTCAGAGCTTGGTATATATTATTTTAAGCCCTGCTCACTTTTAGGGTCTGGGTTGAAAAATTAGCTGAAATCTGAATTGGTTTACTTCTCTTGCAGATTATAAAATTTATCCTTATTCTGTATGTTTGGCATTTTTATAATAATGTGTCTTGGGTGGATCTGTTATCATTTTATATATTTGGAGTCCTATATGCCACCTGTATTTGAATTTCCATTTTGTTTTTAAGGTTTGGATATTGATATTATTTCATTGAAAATATGGTGCATTCCTTTAGTTTGTGTTTCATCTATCCTAATGAATCTTAAATTTGACTTTTAATATTATCCCAAATTTCTTGAATATTCTGTTTGTTGTCTCTTAACATCTTATCACTATGGTTGACTTTATTTTCAAGATTGTATACTTTGTATTCAAAGCATGAAAATCTGTTCTCAAAGTAGTTTAATCTATTGGTGATGCTTTCCATTGAATTTTCACTTTAAATTATTGATTCCTTCATTTCAAGTATTTCTGTTTGATTATTTTCAGAATCTCTCTTAAGTGTTCTTTCACTTCCTGTATTTTCTCTCTGAATTTACTCCTTCCATTGTCTTTTAGCTCATACAATAGTTTAACTATGAATTTTCTAAATTCCATCTATGAGATTTCCTCTACTGTGATGTCAGTGAAGTCTGTTGTTGAAGTATTATGGGTTGTTTGGGATGGTTCCCTTGCTTTTTCATATTGTTTGTACGTCTATCAGTAATAGTTGTAACTTCTTCTTTTAAGTGAAGAAATACAATATGAGCTCTTAAGGGCCCTCAGTTGGGTGGATATCTAGATTATGATATTTTAATTTAATGTGTGACCTCTGATGATCCCAATATTAGCTCCACTTTAAGAGATACCACTGAGCCCTATTTACTATAATCATTTCTGAGTCAAGTCTCATACTTCTGAAACTTTTAAAAACAAAATTGGTTGTAATTGTTCTCTGTGGTTCCTCAAACTCAGATATAAACCTATAATAAATTTTATGAACAGGCCAAAAAATTAGAGGTTTAATTTAATGAATTAACTATAACCTTAAGCAAGCTAAAAGGAGGAAGAAAACTTGTGCAAATGTTGGAGGGATAAAGAAGAATAGAAAAATAGAGTGAATGAGAGAGTGAGAGGGAGAGAGGCTATAAAAGCTTAATTTATGAAATGGTGTTATTTGAGGTAGTAGTGGATGGTGCAAGAGGATTAGTAGGTGGTATGAGAAACAAGTATAAACCAGAGCTAGGAAAACAAAGATAGGAAGCTTGATTCCAGTTAATGCTTTAAACAATTAGATGAAATATATCCAAATGGTTTGGAGGTATATTGGCTATTGGATTAACAATTATCATTCAAGCCAAGGGATTATTTATATGATCAAATTGATATTAGAGGGAGCAGTGTTGTGAGTTGCCTGATTCTAATGCTGCAGAAGCTCAGGATGCCAGCTCTGATGCGTCCCTATGTTTGCTGTGGGCCACTGGGATGGGTCACTTGTGTACCTGTTCCCGTCTGCTGAATTCTTTTCTCGGTACTGAAGATCCTGGAAGCTGTCTGTGTGAACTGACACACTGGTTGAGGGTTTTCTACAGGTGTTCTATGGTATAGTAGTATTTTCCCTGCTGCTTCTGCTCTCTGAGGTGTGTAGTGATGGGTCTCTGGCAATTCATCTGGACTCTAGTTTCCACTGCATTGGTTCCCTCAGCTTTATTAGTCTGGTGCAAGGTCCTGCAAGTATCCAAACAATGCCCTGTTCCCCATTAAGGCTGGTATCCAGCCCTTTTGGCTGCAGAGCCTCTGGCAATTTCCTACTGGGTCTGTATGTCCCTGGATTTTTCAGACAGCTTCCTTCTGGTATGGTGGTTTGATCCTGGGGACTGTCCCTAGGCTTCCTATGGGGCCTCACCCCAGTGCTAGTGGTGCCTGGTGAATCAACTTGCCTTTGTTCAGCCAGAGCTGCTTCATTGTGGCATGAGTGAAGGGAGCCTATGCAGAGGTTTCCAAACCCCCATGCCTGGGTCATTGAGTCTGTATGGGGCTGGACCTGCACTTCCCTTGGCCCAGGTCCCCTCCAGCCCACTCTGTTTTCCTTATTTGTGGAGAAGGAGGAGGGAGAAGAAGAGTTTCTGAGATTTATGTTAGCAGTGGGCCTTCCAGAAGTTCTTTCTGGCCGGATTCTTTTGAGAGTCCACTGCAGGGGCTCCCCTCTGGTTTAATTTGGGCCGTCTAGGTGTGGGGAGACACCATGTTGATTTAAAGAGGGTGACTGACTGACTGACTGGTCCGCTGTGGACTCCACAAGATGGTTAGGAGCCCTGTTCGGCTTTCTTTTCAAGATCTGGTTTTAAGTAGTTTATACTGTTAGGAGACGTCTGCACTTTAAAGTTTGTCTTTTTTAAGTGGGTAAGCTTAAGAGAATGTCCATGACCCCCTCATGCTTTCTCTTTCTGATGCCCTGCCCCCAATCCACAGGTTTGGGTTAGGGTACTCTTGAGTTTGATTTCTGCCCTGGTAATCTATCTTCCAGTCTTTCCAGGTCTCAGACTGTGTAGTATAAGGCCTTAGAGCATTAATGTAGTTACCCACCTCCCAATTCTGCTTTTATTTGCTTCTTCCTCTCAGTAATGTGAAGAGATTGGCACTCACTGCCTGGTTCACTTCTGCCATCCTCCTCCAGCAATCTGTCCTGTCTGCCTTTTGATTACTGTTTGCAGGAACTATTTTCACTAGCCTTTTGTTTAATGATTTTATACCTTTATATATAGTTCATTCAGACCACAAATAGTTGAGTTTTGCTTTTTGTTCAATTGGATGATTTCTGTTTTCATTGAGGTTTTCAAATCAGATTAAGTTGATATAACTGCTGACACAGTTGAATATAAATTTACTTTTTTGTTAATTGTTTTCTTTGTCCCATCTGTTCTTGTTCTTTTTCCTTTTTTTATGCCTCTTTTCAATTAGTTTAGCTTCAGAAAATGACTCCATTTCTTTGTGCTATTCACTTATCAGTTATATTTCTTTTTGAAAGTTTCTAAATAGCTGCCCTAGGGTCTGTAAAATATATATCTTTAATTTTCATGTTTGTTTGTTTTTTTAAGTATTTTTTTTGTTAGTTGGACACAATACCTTTATTTTGTTTATTTATTTTTATGTGGTGCTGAGGATTGAACCCAGGGCCTCACATGTGGGAGGCGAGTGCTCTTCCATTGAGCCACAACCCCAGCCCCTTCATGTTTGTTTTTAAGTAATATTATATGATTTCAAATAGTTTAAGAAACTTAGAGTAGTGTTCCTTGAAAGCTTCTCCCCATCCTCTATGTTATTGTTGTACATTTTTTATGTGCTATAAACCTCTCAAAACATTGTTATTTTGACTTTAATAGTCAATTAGTAATGATTAAAAATTACACACAAGCCTTATGTCTTTTTACTGTTTCTGAAACTTTTCATTTCTTTGTTTCTGTCTGGTTTGATGAAAACATGGATCTCTACAAAGAAATGTGTAGACTTGTAGCACAAGTCTTCAGAATTTTCTGTTTTTGTTTTTCTGTGATTTCATTTTTCAAAAAAAATCTTTTTGACTCAAAGTAGAATCTTTAGGGTTGACAGTTTTTAGTTGTTGTTGTTGTTTTTCTTTTATTTCTAGTACTTTGAGGATATCACTGTCTTTTGACTTTCATCATTTCTCATGAGAATTCTCTTAAAATTCTTATGCCTTTTCTTCTGTATGATGCCTCCTTTGAGCTGGGCATGGTGGTGACTCTAGTTTCAGCTACTCCAGAAGCTGAGGCAAAAGGATCTCAAGTTCAAGGCCAACCTCAACTCCAATTAAAAAATAAAGAGGGCTTTAAATGTAGCTCAGTGGTAGAGCACCCCTTGGGTTCAATTCCCAGTACTGAAAAAATAAATAAATAAAAATAAAAATACTCTCTTCACCCTTGGTTTAAGCAATTCACACATGACACATGCCAATCATATAGGGATTGAATTTATTTTTTTCTAGAGATGGGAGGAATATGTTGGTCCAATCCTGCTATTGTATCTGTATGTGCTGCAGCAGAAGTGCAAGTTTAAAAACAACACATCACTGTCTACCTAGCTCCAATAGGGGCCTTGGTTGTGAAGGTGCATCTGAAAATTCCTTTCTAGGATTTATCACCAGGGTTAATCTTCAGATGGTGCTAGGTAATTCAGAAGTGATAACATTGTAAAAGTTATTTTTAAATTTTTATAAAGGAATTTACATTCAATGAAGAACAAAAAAATCCTATTGAGGAAAAACAGATCAAGGAAAAAGAAGCTGTCTCTGGCAAAGTTATCACTAGTTCAGACAGACCGAAGAAGAATGAAATCAGTTTTGTGAAGACTCATATGGCCAAGAGATTGGAGCCAAGCTTAAATTGGAGAACCAAAGTTGATTTTAAAATGTATGTAGACATTTGTATGATGGGTTTTTCTCATACTCCTTTAGTCACCACTTATTTATCTAGTTTCTTCAGAACTTTGTTTCTTGGTACAAAAATACAAAGAGATACTTTTACATCCTTCTATGATACAAGTTGATTCCTTTCTGCTCCTCTTTCTATTCCAAGTGGAAAAATTTGATAGCTACAGGGTTCATGGTTGGAGCACTGTGAATGGATGGGAAGAACATAGTCCATGTTCATGTAGATAGTGAGTTGGGACAAATAACCATGAAAAGGATGATAAAAATATGTGGAGAAATAACATAGAAGATATAAACATAATGGTAGGGCCCTGATTACATATGTGTTAGGAAATTTCGAAATGATTAACTAATATGGGGTTAAGTAGAGAAACCTTCAGGATGACTAAGGTCTTTTCTATAAACAATTCTCATCTTATAAAAAGACTAGAGTCTCAAAAATATTAACAGGCCTATGTAAAGTTGACACTGTATTGATGAATGAATGAAATAAATAAAATTAGTTCCATTTGGGGCCTCTTATAAATAGGTGCCAAAGAGCTAGTGCTTCTTAAATGCTGAGACAGTCAAAAGCTTTGTGTCAGTCAGCTTTCTGTCACTATAACAAAATGCCTGATATAATAACTTATGAAGAGAAAAGTTTGTTTTGACTCTTGATTTTAAAGGTTTCAGTCCATGATCAGTAAACCAAAAGCTTTTAGGCCTCAAGTGGAGGTGTCAGATGTCATTGGTAGGGAGCAAGTGGTAGAACAAAACCACTTACTTCAAGGCCAGGAAGCAAAAGAGAGAAAGAGAAGGTGACTGAATTTTCACAATCCACTATGAGGATGTGTTCCCAGTGACCTAAAGACCTCCCAGTAGGCCCCACCTCTTCAAGATTCTACAACCTTCCAATAGGATGCCTTAGGGACCAATCTTTTAAACACATGAGACTTTGGAGAACATGTAAGGTCCAAACTATAGCAAGCACATTTTAAATTTAGCCAATAGCTTACAAATTTTAGTCTATATTTGATGTTCTATGTTGTCACATGATTAAGAACTGGCTCCTGGTTGGTCACACCAGTACCCTGACTGGTAACTACAGGGTGATTCTTTTTGGAAGTAAATCCATAACTATTGGGAAGGATAAGCCCTATGGAAAGAGGAGACATATTTGCTCATCTGATTCTCATCAATTTTGTTGAATTTGTGTTTCTACTTGAAAGAGTAAGTTTGAGAATGAAAAAATGTATAGGTAATTCTGTTAACTGGAAAGTGAGTTTTCCAATGCTACTTTTATCAGATGCTTATTCTTTCAGTTATGAATTTACTTAAGTATTTAGTGAGAACAGAGTTTGTGTTAAGGAGTGTGCTAAACTTGGGAATACCTGGAAAACCAGGTGCAGGCTCTGTTATAGCATTAGGTGGAGAAAAATAAGAAGCCACAGGCAACTCTAATTGAGAGCAGTAAGTACCTATAAAAGGCAAGGGTTGGAGGACTTATACAATGATAGCAACCTAGTGTGAAGATCTGTTAGAGTACAAAGAAGTACTGGACCGAAAGTTTCTTCAGTATATAAAATGTGTGGCTCTGTTTGAAAAACAAAAGGGACGTTAGGTGAGGTTGGAAATCATCATTCTCTGTCTCAGGAACACCCATCATTTGGGTGCGTGAAAATGATGGATCCTTTCTATATGATTCATGCAACTTTTATTTCTTATTTTTTAGCATAAAGTAATAAAGATCTCTTTTTTTCAGACATAAAAGTTCAGCAAAAGACAGCCAAGAGGAAAAACATGGAAAACTTGAAAAGCAAAGACCATCTCTTTCACATGGAAAAGTACAGCTTCAGTATGTTTCTGATGGCATGACCAGCTCTTTAAAGCCACCCTCCCATACTGGGCTAGTTAGCATGATAATTAGAGGCTTTTTTTTTGAGGGGGGTACTAGGGATTAAACCAGGGTGCATAACCGCTAAGCTATATTCCCAGCCTTTTTTTATCTTGAGATAGGGTCCCTAAGTTGCTTATGGCCTTGCTAAGTTGCAGAGGTTGACTCTGAAATTGAAATAATTTACCTGTTGAAGGATATTTTTGTTGTTTTTAGTTTTGAGCTATTAAAAATAAAGTTTCTATGAACAATCATACACAGGATTGCCTGTAATATTTTTGGATGCATCTCTTTGTATAGCTTTTTTGCATGATCACTGTAGGTAGTTTGTTATATAAACATAACATCACGATTCACTGGTGTTGACCTTTCCAAATTTGAGTGAAATGGAGAAACTTTTCTCTTTTCTAAGAAATCACAGAAGGTATTGGTACATCTATTACTTATATGCATGTTCCTAAAATGTTATCATTCTAACCAAGTTTATGTTCTGGCTTATATGCATGTATTTTTTGTTGTTCTTAGTAAGAGTGTAGATAAGATTGAAGAAACTATTAGTGAGAGCTCTTCGGAAAGTGAAGAAGATGAAGAACAACCTGATCATCGTCAGGAAGCAAATGCAGATTTGCCTTCGGAATATTGGCAAATTCAGAAGCTGGTGAAATATTTAAAGGTAAGAAATACTTTTTTTTTGTATCATATTTACAAAGTTCATTTTAAATACTGTCACCGAAATATATAGTCTGCATCTAAGTTTATTTTATGTTTCTTTCAAATAAGAAACTACCCATGTTGTTATTTAAGTGTGCATAGGAGAAGGTCTTATTTACCCCGAGGTTTCAAGATTAGTCCTAGGGAGCAGTCAGGTTGCCTGGTACCAGTTTTCTCTCCTGGTTGAGGAGTAGGGGCATGGCACATACAAGATTGTGATTTGCAGCCATTTTATGATTTGCAGTGTGAGGGGATAGAAAGAGCGTGGTTTTTCAAAGCTGGATTGAGTTTAAATTTTAAGCTGTCTCACTTACAAGAAGGGTGGCTGTTGAAAAGTTATGATTTTGAGCCTTAATTTTCTTAAACCATGGGATTAAGTGAATGAAACCTGTACTGTAGAATTGAAAACACATTTGAAATATGTATCATGCTGTCTGATACATTGTAGGTGATAAAAATATGTATTGGCCTACTTCCATATCTCTCTCAAGTCAGGTGATGTATGAAAATATTTTACATGACAACTGGCCCGCATAATGTATTTAAGTTCTTGAATGGAGGGTAGTGGCTTGACAAAAGTAGATTAGTATTCATTTCTGACTTCGAATAGCAAATATTGATTCTATCTAGGCCTTGTCTAAAGCTGGATTCCAGAAGTACTTGTGGAAAAAACCATTTCAACTCACCTCATGGTTTTTTTCTGCTTTTACACATCTTTGGTCAAATCAGCCAAAGGCATTTTCCAGAAGCTTTGCATACTTAAAGGTATTTATGTGCCTGTTAGGCTGCAAAAGGATACTTTTCCAGGCTTTGAGGTGATTTCAAGGTGGCATATAAAATAGCCTGTGTACATTTTTATGAAATTGACAAAGACCCTTTGCATGGATGCAGTGTTACAGGCATGCATAAGAAAACAGAAGACACTTCTGCCACAAAAACAATACATTCCTTCCCTCTGATGGACTCGGTTTTAACTGGAATTCCCAGCATTTCTCAGAAAACACTGTTTTTCCTGAATCTTGAATCCCAAGAAAAATTAATAAGGAAATTGGGAAAATGGTAAAAATTATTCTAATTCCCCTTTGAGAATTCAAGTTTAATAATTATTATAAGGACATAACAGGCTCTAAGGAATCCATAGACCTCATGGAAAACAAGAATAGAAAATGCTGATGGCAGAGAAAGGGTGATGGATGGTAAACATTTCCAGGGACTGAGGCAGGAGTAAGTGTGAGGAAAGAGTTATAATCTAATCAGCCACCCCTGCTGGTGGCTGTTCTCATGCTCTAAATGTGCGTCTTCTGGTAATGTGAGTCTTCCCTGTGAAAATGAATATGAGTAAGTTTCTATACATAGTGTATTTAATATAAATCCTATAAGTGATGATCCAAGAATAAGAAATTTTAGAAGCAAAATGAGTCCTCACATGTGACATTTGGACTTATGTTTCCAATTTCAACCTGTGATTCTATGTAGCCTTATTAATCTTGCTTGGAGGTGTCACTTTGTTTGAACATACCCAGTAATGTTGGCCGTCATTTTTCAGTGTTTGAATACTTGCATGTTTTATATATGTAAATGTACTAATATATGTGTATGTATTACATATTTCGTTCTGAGTAATTTAACAGAAGAAATACAAAGATGTGTATGTTGTGGTATACTCTACTGTGAAATGAGTAACATAATATAAATTAGCAAAAGCAATGCAAATTTCAATGGATCAATTAAAATCAAAGCAAACATATAGAATATTTTCATGTTTATGCCAGACTTCAAAATCTATTATTAAGCTATAATAATCAAAATACCAAGATATTAGCATAAAAACAGACACACTGACCAATGGAAAAGGAAAGAGAGCCCAGTAATACACCTGAGCAAGTTGGTCAACTGATTTTTGATAAAGATGTTAAAAACACACAATGGAGAAAAGATAGTCTCTTTCATAGCTGGTGCTGGGAAAACTGGATATGTACATGTAGGAGAATGAAATTAAACCCTATCTTATATCGTATACAAAAATCAACTAAAATGGATTAAATATTTAAATATAAGGCTTGAAACTGTAAAACTACTAGAAAAGATAGTAGAAGTGGTCCAGAAAATGGTCTAGGCCAAGATTTCTTGAATATGATTTCAAGAATCCAATTTAAAAATGGGTAGACCTATACAGATATTTCTCAAAAGAAGACATAGGGATAGTCAATAGATATGTGAAAAAATGCTTATCATTACTAATCATCAGGGGTGATGAACATTAAAACCACAATGAGATATTCCCTCCCACCTGTTAGAAGGGCTATAATTTAAAAAGTTGAAATATAATAATTGGCTGCTGAGGGTGTAGAGAAAAGATACCCCCTGTGCACTGTTAGTGGGCATGTTCATTAATATAGTTACTATGAAAAAATATGAAAACTAAAAATAGAATTACGGTATGGTAATTCCACTATTGGGTATATATCCAAAGGAAATGAAATCAGTTATGTTGAAGAAATGTCTGCACTCTCACATTCACTACAGTACTGTTCATAATACCTAGATGTGGGGGCAACCTAAAGAAAATGTAAACACAGTGGAATACCATTCAGCCTTTATAAAAGAGGAAATTCTGTCATGTGACAACATGGATGAACCTGGAGGATATTATGCTAAATGAAATAAGTCAGACACAGAAGGACAAATATGGCATGGTCTCATGTTGGAATCTAAAATAATTGAACTCATGAAAGTAGAGAGTAGGATGGTGATTACAGAGGCCAGGTGAGGGGGTGGGTGGGAGAAGGGAAGGCCTTGATTATAGGGTACAGAATTTCAGTTGGATAGGAGCTTTAATATTCTGTTAAACATAATAGTAACTATGCTACATAATAATGTTCTTTTTTTTCCTTTTTTTTTTTTTTTTGGTATTGGGAATTGAACTCAGAGACACTTTACCACTGAGCCACAACCCAGCCCTTTTCAGGGTCTGGATAAATTGCCAAGGCTGGGTTTGAACTTGAGATCCTCCTGCTTCAGCCCCCTAAATTTCTGGGATTACAGGCATATACCACTGTGCCCAGCCTTTGTATATTTCAAAATTGCTAAAAAAAGTAGATTTTAAATATTTTTACTACAAAAATGACAAGTATATGAGGTGGTAGATTTGTTAATTGCTTAATCCAATTATTCCACAACATAAAGAGTTAAGAAAACATCACATTGTACCTCATGAATGTTTAATATACACGACTATTTATTAATTAAAATAAAAACATTAAAATGTTTTTTATATTTAAACAAGATGTAAGCATCAAGTAATGATCACTTGATATGTGTGTGTGTGTGTGTGTGTGTGGTGCTGGGGATCAAACCTAGGGCCTTGTACATACTAGGTAAGTGCTTTATCACTGAGCAATAACCCCAGAGAACCCCAGCTTGAAATATCTTTTTTTAGTCTATAGACTATTATGAAACAAAGATCAAGACTATTGAATGAGAAGATTAATATTTCATAATTTTATTTAAAGAATAACATTTTATAAATTTTAATATTTATCATCTTTCAATTTTTAAGATGGTTTTTACATGGAATCTATTTTGTGTTAATTCTCCCCTTCTTTAGTGTTTTCTATTGTCAAATATCATTATTAGGTGGAGGTCATTTTGCATATTATTATAATATGAAATTGTGTCACATGTTTCTATGCTTTGCATCTGGAATGTTCCCCAAGGGGCCATGTTTTAAAAGGCTGAGTCCCCAGCTAGGAGCTATTGGGAGATGGTAAAACTCTTAAGAGGTAGATTCTGTTAGGAGGTTGCCAGCGAGCATGACCTCAAAGAGAATTGTGAGGCCCTGGTCTCTTTTTCTCGCTCTTGCTCTGTAGCCATGAGGTGAGTGGTTTTGTTCTACTACATGCTCCTGCCCATGATGCACTGCCACAGGTTCAAAAGAATGGGGCCAACTAATCATGGACTGAAGCATTTGAAACTGTGAGCCAGAATAACCTTTTCTCTTTATAAGTTGATTATCTCAGGTATTTCTTACAATAACAGAAAGCTGATTAGCACAGTATACTGCTTAATAATAATAATAATAATAAAAAATCCTGTTTTATAAGATAGATAGATAGATTTTTTTAAAAAGAAAACCTCTTAAAATTTTTGGCATGACTCTACCACTAAAAATAATTCACTCTTTATTATTATGGAAGTAATTCACTATTATTATGCTCACTCATGATTACCTAAAAACATATAAGTAATATATTAGGAAAAATATGGAATAACTTATAATTTGGAGAATTCCTAAGAATTTCCAGGAATTCTTATTTTTTCTTCCTGAATCTTGAACATTTGTGTCTGTTGTAAATTTGAAAACACTAGGCAAGAGCCCCACTAGATTCAACACATGCTCCTGAAAATCATTTTACAGGCATCTTTGTACATAAACCATACAATTGAACAGTGGCCCAGTCCAACCTGTAGGATAGCAATGCCCAGCCTCAGTACATTCACTCCAGTGCCTCTACTCATTGACTGAGCCACAGAACTTCCTATGATTGCCTCTTATCAACCCTTCTTTAAAATGTTTTTGTTGGTGCACTACAGTTGTACATAATAGTGGGATTCATTGTGACATATTCATACATGCACATAACATAATTTGATCAAACCATTTCCTAGTGCTTTCCCTTTTTCTCTCCTGTTCTCTCCCCCTCAATGCCTTTTCTCAACTCTACTGGCTTCCCTCCTTTTTTAAAAAAAATGGTACATAATTCATAAAAGTGAGATTCACAGTGATACATTGGTATGTATACAAAGCATAATTTCATTCCCCAGTACCTCTCTTTTCCCACTCTTTCTTCTTTTCCCTTGATTCCCTTTCTTTACCCTACTGTTGACTCTGCTCAACTCTTAAGGGGCACGTCACCTGGGGTAAAATTTGACAGCAGAGAACATTGCCACCATTACTCTGAG